GGGGCGCTGCGGGAGGAGGCGTCCGGGCGCGCAGCGCTTGCCACCTGCCGCCTGCCGCCTGCCGCCTGCCGCCTGCGGGCGAGGGACCTCCCCGATGAGCTGCACAGCCCTGCGACCCGGTAACCCTCTGCGTAAGTCCTGTGTCTTCCTCCTGCCCTTTGCGAAGCTTGGCTGTGGGCTCAAGTTTTACCCTCATTAACAGTTCGCTGGTGATTCCTGAAACGGGGTGGGGAGGCGTAATGCACAGATGCGCAGAGCTCCTGGGCTTGGCCGCGGAGCCGCGGTCCCCTACAGAGAGTTACTCTAGTTTCTGTAACTTGCGTTTTCATGCTGATCTGGTTTGTTTAATCTCAAGCTTCGGTATATTGAGGAATACCATTGAATCACTAATGGAAGTTGAGGGGACCTAACAGAAAATGCAGCCGCGCTCTGGAATCTAGGTGGCAGTTGTCGGCTTCATAACAAAATACCAATTCCCAGGCTGTAATACTAGATTGCGCATTTTGAGAAACCTGTAAGAGTGTTAAAACTGGAGTCGCCGTTCTCAAACTGTTACGTTTGAAATCGAAAGAGCGTTGTTACTTTATTAAATGATTTTTTTTTTTTTTGCACAGTCAGGGGTTTCCCTGCATTTTCTCGCCGTTGAATTGTAAAAGAAAAGATGCTGTATAAGTGAATTTTATCTCCAAAAATGTCCTGAAATTTATGTATTTCTTGCGACTAACTGTTCACCCAAATGCCAGAATGTCCCAAATATGTTTGGGAAAGGCTTCAAGACTCGTGATTCTTTAGCTACATCTGTAGTCCTATACGTACACACTACTGAAGCACCTTCAAATGGCTTTTATTGCTTTTCTGTGGCATATTATACTCAGTAACTGTAGTTTAGGTGGATGTGCATTTAAAGTACAAGATAATTATTTGTGTGTTACTATAACACATTTAAATATCAGTCTAACAAGGAGGTTTTTCAGGCATTAGATAATTTTATTGTGGAACCTTTTAAGATGTGAACCCTTTTACTCACAAAGATCATTTTGGGCTCTTAACTCTTTTCTCTATCATACATTGGAAAACTGATTTTAACATCAGTACTTAGCTGAGATACATTTGCAGCAGTCCCGATGTTACAGTGTCGATCTTGATGCTTTTAAGAAATCCTTATAAAGCATTTTCTTGTATTTCTGGCAAAACACATGGATCTTTTTCCTTCTGTCTAGAACAAGGTCAGCCATAACAAGATCCTGATGCATAGTGGGCCCATGTTTATCAATGAAGAAGATTATTTGTATGTATTGATGGGAGTCCCTTCCTCCTCATGGGCCTCACCCACTGAGGCTGCATGCAGTAAATGTTGGAGGCAGAGGGGAGGAGGGGAGGGCCAGCTTGATGACACCAGTTTTCCAGTCTCCAGCTTTTACATTGCATACTGCAGAAAGCTTTGAACAGGGAAGTGAATATATCCTAATGGTCTTCAAATACTCAAAGGTGTTATGCAGCAAAGCGTTTTTTTTAGACTGATTCCCAAGTACAGAAAAGACATCATACTTACAGGGAGACAGATTTCCCAGTGATGTAAATGCAGAAGTCGTCAGGATTAGAACTTCAGCAATGCAAAGAAGGGACTGCTCCTTCCTGGGAGGACAGGGGTCCCAGTGGTCTGGTTCTTCACTTCGCATGAATGCTACCAGGAGGTATCACAGGAGTGCTGCAGGGCGGCTTCTAGGTGTGCCAGTGGCCTTGGGACTGGGTGGCGACTCCATTCAAGGACTTCTGTATTTCCCTTCTTGTTCTGTGGTTCTTCTTTATTTCTTGTGCTGGGTTCTACAGTAGTGGGCATAGCGGCATCCCTAGACACTTGGTGAAGCCTCAGAAGATTTGTACCAGGTCATCTGCCTGCTGTCAGAGATGATCTGACCTACCTTGTGTTGATGCGGGGTCTTCTGGGTAATAAAGCATTCGTACATTCAATATGTTGTCTTAACGTCTCTTCTTAAAAATATAAGTGTTTTTGTGTTTCTTCCTTTGGTTTTTAGTTTCTACAGTAAACATTTAATCAATAGGGAAATCATTTTTTCTGGGGTAGTTTAGCAGAGGGGTAGTTTGTTTTTTTAAATCTTTTTCAAAATGAAATGGTGTCAGCCTTTTGAGTCAGCAAGTTATGTAGGTGCATAGTTTTTTCTTAGCTGAGAATAATTTTTAAAGGATACTTGAAGGATGATTCTGTGCTTGCTCTGCATTTTAGTTTCTGTTTATTTCATTACTCAAACATGACTCAAGTGTCATAGCAAAAGAGTCCAGTCATCTCCACCTACCGTAAATTGCATTGAATTTTTTTCAGTGTGCCTGCATGGTTTTTAAGTACATGCTGGCAGCCAAAAATAAAACAAAGCGGAGAAACAGGATCACAGGGAACTGAAAAGATGAGGTGAATGGGAGCTTTATGTTTGAAGAAAAAGATGCACACTCTTCAGGCTAGGCCAGTCTTGGGAATGATGGATTCATCAACGGTGGGAATAACAATGGGAATAATAGTGCTACGCCATTACAAATCTGTCTCAGTGCATGTATTAAGTGGGTCAGTGGGGTGAAGACTTGGCCATGGCCAAGCTGCAGAGCAGCTTCCTGTGAGCATCAGAGTCCCTGTACACCAGGACTAAAGTAGAGCAAGATGGTAACGAGGCCAGTAGAGTCCATTACCTGGCCTCTCCAATTTAGGAGGAAGTTAGAAAAAACATCTGTATTACTGTGTACATGTACTTAATTGTTTTTGTTTTGTGTTTGTTTTGAGACAGGGTCTTGCTATGCAGTTCAGGCTGGCCTTGAACTCACTATGTAGCCCAAGCTAATCTTGAACTCACGGCGATCCTCCCGCCTCAGCCTCCCAACTTCTGGGATCACAGGCGTGTACCACCACACCAGGTTTAAAACTCTTTTTAAAATAGTTCCTCTCCTTTGCCTTTTAGCAGATCTTTTCCCCGTGTTTTTGTGCTTCTCACCCATCAACTGAAGTCAGGTGTAATAAGTTAAGTGATCCCAAAATTTGTTTGAACAAGAATACAAAATTTATAAAATGTGCATGAAGGGAAAAGAGACAAAACCAAGCTGTTCTGGCCAACCAAAAACTAAAATAAAATGTTAGGAAGTATGTATTCCTCCAGGGAAGAAAATCACAGATACTATTTTAAATATTATTACTAGGACAACAAATGATCAAGTAACGTAGCCAGACAGAGCAGCCTTTTGAGAGGTTAAAGGTTACATTTCAAAGCTTCTAGCCAGTCTCTGAGGCATCACATAGTTACCACAGACTTCTCTGTTCATCAGAGAACCGTGTATATCTCTATGCACGTCTCTACCCTGGAGAGTGATCTTTTCTGATACTCCTCACTTAGCACTGTATCAGAAATAACTTTAGGAAGGGGGCTGGGTTACTCCCCTGTGGCCGAATGGGAGGAGGGAATAAGCTT